CTACTCGCCGTGTCCCGCAAGGAAAATTTCCCCGAAAGCCACATAGTAAATCCTTTATTGAACAAGCTTGTTCGGTCAAGATGGTTGGATATTGTCCTCGTTCTTGTTTTTGCGAGTTTATGGACCGCGACTCCGTCTCGGTCCATAAACTCGCAAAAAAAGAACTTGGCCAATATCCAGCCATCTTGACCGAACAAGCTTGGTCAATAACCCATATGTATTTTAATAGTAGTAATCGTAGATTAAAGAGCGCGTTTGAGTTTTGGTAGGTTTGGTATGTTAAAAAAGCAAAAATTCTAGGAACAGCATTTTGTGCCTGAGCAGTTAGGCGCAAAGCACGTGCATACGAGAGAGTTTGTTCTCGTTTATACGTGTATTACGTAATATTCGTTACGACTGGTTGGTATAAAACACGGACTGCAGCTAGTAGGCCGCATTTAGTCTGCAGTCTGCGTTTTACACCTGAGTCCGTGTTTTAACCCAGTCCGTAATGCTTGGTCCGCGTTTTATACCTAAGCCCGTGTTTTATACCCAGTCTGTAATGCTTAGTCCGCGTTTTATACCTAAGTCCGTGTTTTATACCCAGTCCGTAGTCTGCAGTCCGCAGTCCGCAGTCCGCAGTCCGCAGTCCGCAGTCCGCAGTCGCTATTTTNCTATTTTATACTAACCGTGTAAATCGACACAAACGATGTCTCTTTCGTCGGTATGCGAGCCGACGTGCTTTTATTACTGAACTAGGACAATTATTTTGTTTACGAACACGACTTTGAATCGCCTTCGCTTTGTGGGAACAGCTACAGGGCATTTTCACTTCGGAAATAATGAAACGAAGGACGTGTTGGTGTACCAAAGCAATCCTGTGGGAGTTGAACTCATTTCCTATGTAAACACTTTCGTTGGGTTTATGTTACATATTTTGCGCACAGAAATCCAGGCCAGCGAAGTGAAACTGCACATTTCCTCCTTTGATTTATTCAGCAGGAAGCAGCGTTGGTTTTGGTCGAAGAGAAGAGGGTACACAAAACCCAGCCAAACTGCTACAGCTTTCTATTAGTGTGAAAAGTCGTACACATTTCGTGAAGACATGTCTGAAAGGTTTTTAAATGCCATTAACACTGACTTTGAACTTTAAATAAACAACTTATCCGCTGCAGTCCACAATGAGCTGCCTCGACACTCGAAAGTCCGCAATATTGTACAACACTCGAAAGAAAGCACATGGACGAACATGGAATGACGTCATTCGCCCCTGAAGAATTCTTTTTTGGGGGACCAAATTGGTGTTCACAGGAAGATACATACGTGTACCGCTAGAGCAATGCCTCTCAGTTTTGCTGTAATGAATCAAACGAAGATTGCCAAGGAAAATGTTACAATTCATATCAAAAAAAAGAAGTTTTGCTTATCTGTTGACGGTCAGACGTTAAAAACAGGTTGGTGTGCTCGTTTCTCATGAGTTCAACTAAATGATTTTGCTGTCAATAGGTCCTCGCGGTCCGTATACTCCCCCGACCTATGGAGGGTATGGACATGAAATGTATGGCAGAGGACATACTTTTCCCCCGAAACCAAGAAGGTAAGAGTTTCTTAATAAGTTTCTGTAAACAGTGGGGACGATATCAGCGGCAGGATATCAGCGGTTGTGATTCAATGAAAAATGTTAATTAAACATGGTGTTTTATTTTAGATTTGGGTACGGCGCAGGACGAAATAAACCGAGCGACAGGTTAGTTGTATACAAATTCTTCACTTTGCCGTTCGCTGGACTCTGTGATAGAACAATAACTGTTCTATCAGAATTCTTGTCATACACAGTATGTTGCCCAATTCATATCCGACAGTTTAAAATTGCTATATTTTCCCTTACTCGATTACTTGAGGCCAGAAATTTCAGCCTGAGACAACTCATTTACTTCAGTTTGATTCTAAAAGGTTTAGGGTTCTGCCTTCTTACGGTGGTACAATTTTATTTTGTGCGAAGTTGCTTGGTTACCCAGTATACGCACAGCTGATAAAATAGGATCAAAGTTAAGATTTGTCTCAACTCCGCTTCGCCAGAATGTTTGAAAAAATTGGCTGAAATGTTAGTTTCGTCAATTCAACGTAAACTCGTCAAAATTAGTAATTTTCACGTAGTAGTTTTAGGGCCTTTTTACAAGAAGAGAGGGTTACCCTAGCAAGGGCGTAACACTAGCACTCACACATTTCCTCTTTTTTTTCTTCGTCGTGTTTACAAGGCAGCCAGGGTTACCCCGGTAGGCGGGTTACCCTATCTGCGTGCTAGGCTTAACCCGCTTGCTAGGGTGATCCTCCCTCCTTGTAAACAGGCCCTTAAAGTTAGTAACCTAAGAAAGATCAAAACTAGGGTCCATCTGACTACATTTGACGTTGGGTGACAACCATATTCTAATGTCGGTCTTGTGAGCCACGTTTTTTAGTCTCAATAGGCTTTTTAATACGGGTACTCACTCCTCGATCATAAGAGAACTGAGCTCTTTGGGAAGGAATTAAAGCCCATCGGACACAAAAGCATTTAGCTGAGCAGTCGATTACGCGAGTCCGGGAGCTCAGCTAAGAACTCAACGTTTTTCACCGCAGACATTGAAGAAAATAGGGAGATGACCCGTGCTTCTTTATTGGGCAGCTAATTTTTCCGACTCACAAGAGATAATTACACCCCGTGAGACAAAAAAATAATATTTCCTCACGGTTTCCCAAGGCGAAAAACGTTCACACTCAAAAGAATCTGGGCGAGCTCTCGCGTCGAATGACCAGGAGCTCAGCTGGATGCTCTCATCTGTGAGAATAGGCCACATTCTGTTCATATTCTAACATAGTTCCGAGGCTTTCAGGACAAACCACTATATTTGGTAGTGTTTTCTTTGTATCCAAGTCTCTTTTGGGAATTGACGGACAAACGAAACTTGAAAACACTTGCAATTTTGTCCTGAAAGCCTCGGAGCCATGGTAGGATATTGATATATCGAACGTAGCGTATTCTTGGCCATACCTTGGAGATAATCATGGAATGAAAGATCACCAGAGTGGGTGAGCTCTGCCGCGAAGCTCAGTGTCCTTTAATTTACAGCACTAACATAAATCGAGTAATAAGAAACTGCTATGTGAACTAACTAATCTTGTGCTATTGTCAGAGTTACCTCAACTGCGTCGGGTTTGTGGGAGGGGGTTTACACCCACTTTAAATTGTCGAAAAAATAGCGTGCCTCGGAACCACCTCCCTAAATTTTTTTTAAACTTGGCGACTGAAACTTTGTGTTTTGACTTGATAACGATAATCGAGAAGTGGAGTAACGAACTCATTTTATAGTTATAAGAAAAGTGAGGGTGTTTTTAACGGCATATGCATATATATTTGTCTACCGATGAGTGGACTTTTTCTTGAACCATTATTTTGGCATCAGTTGAAATAGAGTGATATCATTGATTCATCAAAGAAGAAGTTCTGGAAACCGTTTTAAGCGACCATAAGCTGGTGTATTTCCGCGGTTTTGGTATCAACCTTGAATGTGGAACGGGAAATACACTAAATTTATTGTTGTATTGTTCTTGGGTCGTTATTGTTAAAAAATTATTGTCATTATGCAGCTCACTTTATCTTAATTGGCGTAAAAGCGTTGTGTGTATGATAGAGTTGGATATATTTCTTTTAACAGGGGCGGTTTCCATCGTGATCCAAGACAGATTGTACAATATAAAGACTTGGATGCCCCAGATGACGCTGATGCCTTCTGAAGTGATTTCGTCATTTTGCATGTTCAACCGGCTCGCTTTATTGTCAAGAAAATGTCACCCGGCGAAATCAGTGTATTTATCTGTCCTTAAATATAAGATCACTGAACCGAAAAAAAAATATTTCAGCTCTTAGCCTTAAAATACAGTAACTACGGTAGGCCTGTCAAATATCTACAGCTTGTCTTAGTTAGGCTAAGTAGTCTGTTTTTACGTATCTGTAATTAGTTTAGGGCTAGTTACTCTTGTTAACATCGAAAACAAGACCAATGGTACAATAAAGGATCGTCCATGTTACTAAGCGGTAATGTTCGTCCCATTTTAACAGTCATTGTTTAGGTTTTTTTCCTTTATCACAGGCTTTCTGTTCAGCCACTGGTTGAGAGAAGGGAAGAAAAGGGCGGGCTTGGCAATAATTGCTCATCAGTCAGAAAAATCACACTCGTGCCGTGTTTTCACGAGAGAGGTTTACTACGGTTTCTGCTTACCGAGGTTTCGTAACTAAACTGCAGTTATTAGAGAAGCTGTTTACACGGAACTAATTAACTAAAGTAGACCGCATACAACGGACGGTTTTAGGTTTTCTCGGAAAGCAAGTGCTGCAATGCTGCACAGAAACTGTCGGAAAATTACAAAATTTCTGACTTTACTCCAATGCCAAACGCAGGTCGTTGTCAGTTTGGAGGCAGTGATGTCGAGCCAAACTCTCCACAAATGTAGAGCTTTGTAGATGAATAGTGAAAAGAATTTTGATATCTCGCTGAGCCTCTTCCAGCAAAAAACCTGAAATGGCATCTGCCATGGAGCCCGGGCTACGTAGATGTTTACCGGTACTTCTTCTTATTCGGGGCCGCTTTAAATTCTAACATTTGCTTTTCTTCTCCATAGACCTCAATTACGATATTTTTCTCTCTCTCTTTGTGGTAGGTCTTCTTCTAGTTGCGCCTGCATGTACACTGCAACTAAGCTACGCAGTGAGCTTCTAACAGAAAGGAAACGCTTACGGCACTTGACGATGAACGGGAAACAGCAGTCCGGAATTTCTTTGTCCAAATATGAGTTAATTTAGCTTTATTTGCCCGTTGACTTGAAACCTACTTATATTAGGAGGAATCTTAGGATGTTACTAAAACTGGTAACGGGGAACGGGGAACCGGGAACGGGAGTCTGGGAACGAGTGTACAGCGGTAACCCGTCCGAGAATTCAACATGGCGGACAAAGAAAAAGAAAAGAAACCAATTTGGGAGAATGTGAGGAAATGTTACGGTTGTAAACGTGAGTTTCTACAGGCTGTGCCCCCAGATGACCAGTACGTTCTTGTTAAAGCAGAGTCCGATTGGTACCGGGATAAACAAAGCACGAAACGGCGCCTGGGGAGAAAATCGAATCGGTATCACATGCCACCCAGGAGCCCATTACCCGGAGCCTCCATATGAGTTGTACCCTTGAGTCAACCCTGTCCCGTATCTTTTTATTATTAGAACTGTGATATCTGCGGGAGTTCTTCAATTTCCCGCGAGAACACGCTGACGTCCGCATAACTTCCTAACAAAATAATAAACTTTCCTCGCTTTCCACCATCATTGAAATACTTTCTTGTCCTCTATGGTTACACGTCACATGCGGGCCACCACAGCTCTCTCATGATTCGCTATTATAAAAGCACCCGCGAAAACCTCCGTGGGAGGTGCTTCTAAAAATAAAAAGATACGAGACAGGGTTGAATCAGAGGGTCGGTATAGAAGATGGAAGCTCCGGGTAATGGGCTCCTGATGCCACCCCAATCGGTCAGTACAAAATGAAAGAATGCAGGTTGCACGACTGCACACCGGGTACAAAATGCAAACTGCAGACTGGGTACAAAATGCAGACATTGAATAAAGACTGTTTTTCGTCTTCTAAAAATTATACCGAGTGTCACGCAGTCGCTTTTCCGCGGTCATCTTTCACCAACATTAGCATTATTTTGGATATTCCTTGCTCGTTTCTTTATATATTTTGTCTATAACAAAGCGGCTAGGCCATAGGTTATTTATTCGCTGCTTAACTGATTTGCCGGCTGACTTGCCGATCTCCGAAAGGCAGCCATGCTACCGAATGCGAAGACAACGGACGGCCTACGTTCAACGATGGTCATGTGTTACGTCACTTATCTTCGGTATCATATTGCATGCTGCTTTCTTTAAAAATTGATATGACAGCTCGCGCACAAAGTGAGAAGATATGAGAAGACTATGAAGGCTTGAAATTCTATTTAAGAACGACTGTGGCCTGACCGATTGGGGTAGCATGTGATAATATTGATTCGATTTTCTCCTCAGGCGCCATTTCGTGCTTTACACGTATTTATCCCAGTACCAATCGGACTCTGCTTTAACAAAAACGTACTGGTCATCTGGGGGCACAGCCGGTAGAAACTCACGTTTACAACCGTAACACGTCCTCATCTTTCCCCAAATTGCTCCCTTTTCTTTTCCTTTGTCCACCATGTTGAATTCTTAGGCGGGTTTCCGGTGTGCACTCGTTCCCAGACTCCCGTTCCCGGTTTCCCGTTCCGCGTTTCCCGTTTCCCGTTTCCCGTTTCCCGTTCCCCGTTCCCAGTTCCCAGTTTTAGTAACATCCGGAAACTTATCTTTTTCTCTTCTTTACGCGCTCAACGCGTGAACACTTGCCGCGAAGATGTCGCGACAACGTCTGCTTTTCCTCAGTTAAGCCTGGTTCACACTAGCGACATAACGACATAAGGAAAAGATCAGTTTTATCTTTATGTCGTCATGTTCATGCTGTTATGTTGCTAATATGTCATAACTACATGTTCACACTACAAACATAACGTTCTTTTTACGTCGAGATAATGTCCTTTAGTTTTCTGTCGTTTGTGACGATCGATGTCATTATGTCGTTATGTCGCTAGTGTGAACCAGGCTTTACCGTCGGTTACTGAGCTAAACCATGCCTGATAAGGCGTTCAACTGTCGACAAATCTAGGTTGGCTTACTTTTGATTTTGCCGCCATTTACCGAGGTTTGCTACTGTGCTTACACGATTAAACTTTCACTTCAGTAAAGTTAAAACAAAACCAAGGTAAACATCTCTAGTGAAAGCACGGGCTCATTTTGATGCAGGCTTGGTCTCTGGCTTGCCTGATTATTGTGGTTGTCTTTATATTTTATCGTTTTTCTTGGACGGTTTAGGCTGAAATTCACTATTTGAACAGCGCGAACGGGGTGGGGGAAGGCAGTAAAACGTCGCGAAACTGGACGGAACACTGAATTCGATAGGAGATGACGAGTCAGTTAGTAGACATACTGAGACCATTTCTTCAGACGGTTGTAGACACAACTCAAAAAGCGGGAGAGTGATCCTCGTGGCATAACGATAAAATTGAAGCAATCACAAACGGTTAACAGTTTGCAAAACGGTCTACAATAACGAAAAGACAATCTCCAGCCCTCATAGAAGGTTTGACTTTCAGAGGTGTTTTACCCGAAATATCGGGCAAGTGTTTTTGAACCGGTCAAAAATTTTGGTTTTCGTGCATGCACCAAAAGGAATGACTTACCTTGCACCTCCAATCTCGTATTTTAAGTCTTCGTTAGGGCGTATGTAAGACGCGGAACCCACCCGGAAGCTACTGGAACCGTCGGAACCGCCCCGGAACTAGCCGGACCCTTTCCCCCCCCCCCCCCTCGGAACCTACCCGGAACCCACCCGGAACCTTGACAAAAGACTGAAATGATAAAAATCAAATAAAAATAATACAAATAATACAAATCAAATAAAAATAATAAAAGTAAAATAAAAGTAATAAAAATAACGGAGTGTTTACTTTGCCAAAGGTCAAAATACAAAGTATTTTGTACGACTCGAAACCACAAGAGCTTCCGCATTTTTTAGTTTTTTTTTTTTTTTTTTGAAAAAAAAATACCTCTTAGTCGGCGCGTCGGGTATGTT